TCATTCATTTTAGTTGCATTTTCACAGCATTTAATTTGCATTCCTTGCTCCAAGTAACCTTGAAATATATATATAATATATATAATCAAAACATCAAGGATGGAAAAGCAGGTATCATGATAAAGAGGCATGTTAGTCCTACATCCTGATTGGTAGGCCTATTTCTGACAATCTCTCAATTGATCATGTTCTGCTGAGAAGGATCTGAAGTCTAGACAGGATTAACCCTCATTAATGGCCATCAAGCATCTCATAAATATTTCCAGATTCCATCCTCATCAGGATGCCCATCAGATTCCTCTCCATCAAGGTTCCAGCTATGGAGATCAAGGCTGTACTGATTTGCAGAGGAAAGCAGCAGAGACAAGTCAGGTATCACTTGTCTTGTGCCTTATACTTGATGCAGATCCATTTTTACCTCATATGGATGAATTTGTTTCCATGCTCCAAATGGAGCATAGGCTTACTTGCATGCAAAACACAGCTTGCATTCGTTTCAAATGTCACTTCAGTCTTGTCGCATGTGAAATTCAATCAAATCGCAAATTCATTTCCATTCCAACTCGGACACAAATTAACTAATTGAGGTAGATCTGAGAGCAGGACTGATTCCCTTGTTGACAGGTTGGTTTTATTGCACCTTCACCGAAATGAAGCACATTGGAAGCTTGAGCATTGAAGGCTATGTTCATGAATTTCCTTCATGATGTTGAGCAAGAAAAAGTTGTTTTGACATGTTCCATTTGCCCCCTCAGCCAGCAAGGGGGATCAGTCCTGCCATTTGCAAAAATCATACATGAAGGGGGATTTCCATCAGGGAAGAAAATAAAACATGGTTTTGGTAAGTTCAAATAGGTCCTGCATAGCATCTATAATGGCATATGAAAGGAACAGAAACAAACATGGCAACCATGTGGTCCTAGTACAAAGAGGCGATACTGACGAAGAAACAAGGGATATAATACCAGGGAGGAGACTGTTGGCCAGGTTGGAAACTATTTTCTGTATCCTAATACTGGACCCCTCATGCACAAGAATATGATAAATTACATCTCTCACACCCGAACAGACGGGAAAACCCGAGAACCTTCACGACGGGAATCGCTCGGCTGTACACGCTAAGGACGAAGGGAGTCGAGGAGGAAGAAACGGGAAGGACGCGGAAGGGGACGTGATATGTTCTACTGGCAATCGTGAAGAAGAAATTTTCCTGCTCAGGTCGATGCCCAGTGACTAGCTGAAGCAAACAGAGTTCTCTTTCTTCATCAGAGAAGATTTAAAAATTGAAGAAAAGAAAGGAGGCTGAGATCGAATTTGATTGTTTCAGCTTGCATGCCCTTTGGCAAATCATCCACTCACAGACACAGCCTGGACAGATTGTCGAGAGGGGAGAAAGGTGAAAGGTTTTTTCGAGTTCCTTCCGAGATCCAAAGTGACTTGGGGACGAAGATGACACGGGTCGAGATCCACTTTTGGCAGTTCATGCCGGTTAGTCCTTCCACAGAATAATGCCATTCAAACGATAATGAGAAGATGATGAAAAGTGAGGATAAACAAAAGAGGGGGCAACACAGAGCTGAAAGCACTGGAGGAATGTCCTATGGCACCTGACGATTTTCAAACGCCTCAAGGCTGATCCTCAAGGAGCACTCTTCTTTCTACTCAAGCCAGAAACCCAAAATAATAAAAAATTGGAAGAGTTCATCTATGAAAATGATATTTAAATGTCACATGAATCTCAATATTGCCATTTGAATAGTAAACCTGATGATTACAGCAGAAAAAAGAGGAAGATCATCGTGCTAATGCCCAAGAGAAGAAATAAATCTTGGCCTCAAACCTCAAATCTTGAGGTTGAATAAATTTCCATTTCAAGCAAGGAAGGAAGAATGAGATCAAGCCTTGAGCCTCGGGAATGAGAAACGACACGACACGCAGAGTGTAAGGGCGAGGAAAAACATACACAATCAAAGCCATCCTCAGTTTTTTGTGTTTCCTGGTTCCACCCGAATCAGCCACGACAAATACCATTTGTGATCCACAAGCACCAACCGCAAGTCCTGTCTCGGTCAACCACTCAGAGGAAGCCACTCCACAGCTGAAACTTATCACAGGGAAGAGGAAAGTAGAAGGGGAATTTTATTTTTTTTTCTTGGAAGTTGTACTTCCAGCATTGGAGCCTCCTCCTCTGAGGGTCTTCTGATACACTCCAAGAAGGGAAGAAAATAAAAATACTGGCAGTGTTAAGGCTGGTTGCTTCCATTCGTAGAACTTCATCATCGTCACTTGCTATCTCCATCCCTATGCGCATATATACAACCCAAGCTGGGAAATTTCCAGCTCCAGACACAAAAATACCCTTGATCACAACACCAACTGTGACCTGATTATTAGCAACAGCCAATTCTGTCCTTCCTAGCTCCTTTGCACACTTTTGCATCCTCTTAAGAAGAAAAAATCAATGGGGGAAAATAGCCAGCATAACATACTGATGGGGGAGAAGGAAAACAAAGAAGGCCAAATGTATCCCCGCATTGCAAATTGGAAATCGTTTTTGAGCATGTTCCTAAACTGAGGAGCACAAAAAAGAGAACAGTGTGAGTTTGAACTACTGGCAGTGAAGGAGATGATCACAATTTTTCCCAATGAATCGTTTTAAGAGATGCTGACAGGAGTCAGTTGTGACACATCACTTGCGCTTGGACTTTCGTCCACGTTTGGTCGAACTGGCACTTCCAAAAAGAGCTGCATGGATGGAATCGCGTGCCACGGCCGAAAGACTGCGCACTGGAACACTTTTGCTTGCCTCTACCATCGAAGCATCCACCCACTCATCTGGTAATCTGCAAAGTAAGCAGCGAGTTAGCTCTCCATGAATTACAGATACACACTCATCCACATCAAAGTCAAAGTCAGACAAGAAATCATCCAAGAGACGGGGAAATCAGGTAAGAACAGTCTGTTTACTGTCAAAAAATTTATACAGGTATGAAGTTAGAAACACTTGAAGTGCATTTCCTTTCCCCAGAGACTTTAGAAAGATCTTTTCTGCCTTCATGCACAGTACAGATGAAGGCAAGTGATACCTTGTTTTTTTTTTTCTGTATTGACCAACACCTACATATTAGGTCAACTGTCATCAGCATGGCTTTGCAATAGGTTCAATGAAATGAGATATTAACTTTTTTTAGTTCTTGTTTTTGACAGATCATATGTGTAGCTGTTGCAATATTCATTTTAGTTCACAGCCAGTTCACAATCTCTAACATCTTAGTCAGAATTCATGAATACTACATTGTAATAGAAGCAAAGATATGTGCATTTCAGACAAACAGCAACAAGTTCCCACGCTTTACTCAAATGACAAGATCAATAAAGTGATTTACCTGTAGAGACCTACTCATCTTGAAGATGATAATAATAATGTAAGGTAATTTTTCTGACAAATATTATTGGCAAATATTATTCATTGTTCAAAATCAAATTCCCTAAGGTACTTGTTCTGGTGCAACTATCTTAATCTACTTACCAATATTGCTGATGAATTAAAAATTAACCAAAAAACACATACCAAAGCTTTACTAGGATGGTGGGAGGAAAGCAACCCCAAATACCCATTGTTGCATTCTTACTTATCTTCTCTCACATCAAATGGAGCAGCAAGCCCATAAATTACAGTTAGTAAGGATCTCAAAATATCAGAATACATCAGTAAAGATCCAGGTTTTTCTATAGATTCAGTCTTACAAAATGCCTTCTAAAAAACAACCTTATTTGGAGAGAGACAGATGATGATTTGAATAAATGCTTCAAGGAAAAGGTAGCAACAAAGGTGTGATTGAACTCACATGTTTTCAGGCATCCAATGGACAAGTGCCTTGGTTTTCCCTGAGGAGTCCACTTGCCGGCCTCTCACCTGCAAACAATAAATAATAAATTATTCTCTAAAACAATCAGAAAGCCATTCTTCAGGCTTAAACACCACATCATGAGCACAAACACACAGCTCAGAATAGAATTACTTTGAACTTCATAAAACCAAGAAATCCTGACTGTGGACTATTAGGCTATTATTATACTTCACACAGCAGCATCTTGAATGTAACACACAAATGTTACACTCAGTATGGCAGCCAGAGAAAAAATCCTTTTAGGGAATATATTGGGGCATACCATAAAAGCTAAAAATATTCACATAAAAACAGTTCTCTGCAGCCCCTACTTGTGAGAGTAAAACGTAGTCTCAACTAAGCACACATCCACGACTTGTATGGCAAAAGCCACAAATAAATGTCACCTTTATTGAATGTAAGTTGACAAGCACTTGTAAGAGTATTGTGGCTTGGTGGAGTTGAGACTAACTACTTATACCTTCAATGAATGATGAAAAGGTTTATACTATAGTTGCAAACATCATGGCAATATATGTCAAGTGCATATGTCAACATTCACAGGATCACTAGTTGCTAGAGGGTCTCTTTTAAAAGTGGCTGCTCATTCTCCCATATGGTCAATGGGAGTAACCACTTCTTAAATAATAAAAAATTAATCTAAATAAAAATTGGCAAAGGGGACATATAGGGTGTCCCAGAATTTACTGAACCAGGCAGAAAACCATTGTTCAATCAATTCTGGAGCACTCTGTAAGAAGAATTCAAGAGGCAAATATTTATTTTTTGGAGTTTACACCAAATAGAACTTTTGGGACCGATGCTTCATGAAGTACTTCATGAAGTACAAGGGGAGGAGGATGTCTTGTATTACACTACCCTCCACCATGGCAGAGCAAACTGAAACTTTACTTCCTTTCATCATTATCATTCATTTTAGTTGCATTTTCACAGCATTTAATTTGCATTCCTTGCTCCAAGTAACCTTGAAATATATATATAATATATATAATCAAAACATCAAGGATGGAAAAGCAGGTATCATGATAAAGAGGCATGTTAGTCCTACATCCTGATTGGTAGGCCTATTTCTGACAATCTCTCAATTGATCATGTTCTGCTGAGAAGGATCTGAAGTCTAGACAGGATTAACCCTCATTAATGGCCATCAAGCATCTCATAAATATTTCCAGATTCCATCCTCATCAGGATGCCCATCAGATTCCTCTCCATCAAGGTTCCAGCTATGGAGATCAAGGCTGTACTGATTTGCAGAGGAAAGCAGCAGAGACAAGTCAGGTATCACTTGTCTTGTGCCTTATACTTGATGCAGATCCATTTTTACCTCATATGGATGAATTTGTTTCCATGCTCCAAATGGAGCATAGGCTTACTTGCATGCAAACATCAGTTCAGCATTTGGCACCAACAATCCACGCAACAAGAGACATCACTTACAGGAAAATTTCTACACTAGCATAGAGAAATATGAAGTGAGGTATTTTTCACTGTAGTGATGACTGCCATTCCACAGACCTTTCTAAGGGCTACTAAACACTTAACGTCTAGTATGCATTGCCTTGATTCACTCATTTCTTTCATATCACACTGGCAACCATGTAGCAGGATGAAAAGGGACCATGACCATACCTGACATTTGAAAGTAAGGCAAGCATCCCCTGAGAGAGTAACTTGGCCAAGCGTTTCATGCGACGCGAGGCAAGACAGACGATTCCTCAGTCTGTCCATCGCGTCCAGCTCCCAAAAATCCCACAATCGTCCTGTGCAACAAAAACTGAAAATTATTCACTGCTCCCGAAGAAACACTGCACAATACAAGTAGGCATGCTGCAAGTTCCATGACTTGCCTCAATACTCTGAGTGATGTGGTTATGCAAATTAAAGGATTGTTTCTCTTCCTAGAACTCAGTGGGGAAGAGAATTCTATTGACTTTCAGTTGGCAATGACTTAACAACTTACTGCAGGCCATGCATGGCTAATGTCAATGATAGAACATCAAAGTCATCTCTCATAGCCATATCAGCTTCATGTAAAAATTCATGATTAAATTGCCAACCTTGAGTCAGTGTCAATGCACACTGCATGACAGTAAAACCATTCACATCCAGTTTCAAGGTAAAGGTGTGACATTTGACAACACTTCCACATCTATGGGTTCCTTAAACAGAATATTATCTCCCACTCAATGAAGTAGAAGGGACAGGAAGATATGGTAATGAACAAATGAAAAAGCAAGGAGCAGGAATATAAACATCATTGCCTCCAGAAAAAAAGCATGCTTGAAAAGTCCACACTTGGGCCTGAGATTGGAAAAACTCCTGATGCCACAGATATGACTCATCTTTTTATAGTTCCTCCCAGAGTGATTCCAAACTAATTGGTCTGAGCTTTTCCTGTACTTAATAGAAGTTAATGTCTATATTTCATTAAGAATGCTACCAGTTTCTGACATTCTCCATCAACATGAAGATCTTTTGATGGCAAAGTTAGCTCCTTCTTGGGAATAGAAAACAGCACAAGGAGATTACAAACATTGCATTTACTGTTCTTCATTTGCCACACAATGTTAAAGCAAAATGTAAATATGCCACAAGCAGCTTCAATCATTTGGCAAGCACATCAAAATGAAAATATATTCATCATTAATCATCTCCTCACCAAACGTTTTGCATATTATTTTCTTCAGACTCCAAGATATAAAAAATGCAACTAAACATTAGAGAAAAACAATTTGAAAAAAGGTACCACCTGCAATTCCACTTTTCCTCACCCAGGCTACGCCTACATTTCTCATTATTCATTATATAAGTTGAGAACTCATGATGGGAAACTGCAAGAGAACAAATTAAACCTGAGAGACGGCACAATAACAACACATGGTCCCATCGGGCCAACAGATACGAGAACCTGTCAATCCCTCCCAATTAGGGGAAGAAGACAGATAAGAGGGGACTGACCAGGGTGTGGGCGTTTCCTGAGGAGTCGCTGAAGGCGTTGCTTCCCGTTCTTCTTGACGGCCTTGCTGGGGCTGGCCTCGGGGTTCCGCCTCCCGGTCGGGAGGCCCGCGCCTCCACCGCCGGACCCGCAGCCCCCGCCCACCTGCCCCACCTCGGAACCCCCGCTCCCGTCGAAATGCCCGTTCACGTGCCGCTCCAGCAAAAACTACGCAGAGATGCCATGCTGAATACCGCGGAAAAACAGCAGGAAACGTGAAACCTCGTCGCCCAAGGCAGAAACGCGGCGGCTTATCCCGGTTTGACTGACAGAGCCTTCAATAAGTCCACTACATCGGCCCACGCTCCCTGGCGAATAACGAGGTTAATCCGTCGATGAGAGCCTACTTGTACTTGTTGACGGGAAGGTAGGTAATTTACAGTACTATCCCGACCGAGAATAAAATCCGCAAAGCCTGCTCGAGCAGGTCTTTTCCCAGGATTATACGCGATTCCATCCAGTAACGAGGGAAAATTCCATTACGTCGGAAATCCGCCTTCACCTTGTTTTCAGATAACACCCACCATCACGAACCGATCTGCCGTGCAACTACGGAGCCCGAAACCACCTCGAGCGACCGAAGACGATCGAAAAAACCTTTTTTTCTTTCTTTTTTTTTTAAAAGCGACGCCTCAATCCCCCGAAACATACCGAACCCCGCTCCCGCATCCTGCATCCCACAGCCGGCATCCTCCACAGACTGACCCTCAACCGACCGCACGCGACGAGCACGACGTCAACTCCCCAGCCTTCGATTCGCGATCGGCAGGATCGGCACCCCCCCCCCCCCCCCCCCCCCCCTCTCCGACGATCTAAGAAAATGATTAATGTATTTGAAGGATCCGTTTCCAGTGAATGTGGTAAAAATCCTTGGGTTATAGGCATGTTCCATATGCTCCGCGAAGTTACTTCAAGTTAACGGTACGTCATTTTAAGATGACACAAGGAAATCCATGTTTTCATAAAATAATTGTACCAATAGGTGCTTCCATGTCAAACTTCAAAAGCACTTCAATGACTCTGCTCCGACGAGAAAAAAAAAAAGAAGAAAATCCTCCAGGGAAATATTTCTTTTCCAAACGATCGTGGTTCTTCCATAAATATCCACGTCGGGATCTACCGATTCACCGAGTTTCGATTTCCTGTCTCAAGGAAGAGCCCGCAGGGAACATGATTGAAAAATAGGAAATGTCCAGAAGGCATTACTACAGTACTGCAGGATTACAAAACATGATCAATTATCAATTATTATAATTAATTTTTTCATCAATCTTTCGAAACATTGGCATATCCATATTCCCCACGGTTACCCAACGCGAAAGAAAGAGCGTAACGCATGTGTGAGCGTAACGTGCGTGATTTCAGGGGTGGGCTTAAACTTTGGCGGAATCTTATTTTCACTGTAGCTCAATAATGGGTATTTTGCTTTGGTGCTCTGGAAGACAGATTTCATTTAGGCAGAGGATAACTTGGGGGAATACGGCCAAGAGAGTAATCCCTTAAGAAACTTCCAAATGCAGGTGCTTATATGGGATTCTGCAGTACTGAATTTAGCCATGTTTGGAAACAGATCAATCCGTAGCATTTTTTTCGCCATTCTTAATAAATATGGAACTACATATTGTACATATGGTTTGGTTCTATTTGGTATGGTTTATGGTGCTAGGTTTGCATTGTTTATGACACTAACAAACTGTCCGGAATAAAATACGGCATTTACAATATTTTTTAAAACTGTTCAGTCCGTGTAACGTCCATGTAATGCCGATGTAATGCCGATGGATGCACACGCATGCACGTTGAGGCCTTCCATATGGCCTGACATCTAGCATTTCGTCCAACAAACATCAAGTTCTCCCAACGCAAGCGAGGTCTCGCTCATCCCGCCGCAATGTGTCTCCCGATTCCGCAAATGCTAATTAATGGTTCTGCAGAAGCTTTCACCGTCGACTCGCGGATTTCCCACGTGCAAACCGAAGAAATGAACTCGTTTCAATCGATGCATATGCTGAGAGACGCAACCCAGCTTAAGGAGACTCCAGAAAATTCTTGCTCAATCCATGCATAGAGGGTTTGAGGTTGCCCTTCTCGGGTGAGTCGCAAAAAAAAACCCTCAGGGAGTTTCGATGTTGTTATAAAGGACGTTGTTATAAAGGATGTTGTTATCATAAATATTTAGGTTGTTTCACATGAAATGTCTGATTTTTCTCTATACAGGCAGTCCTCGACTTACGACGCTCCGACTTAGGACACTTTGACTCAGGACGCTCTGAGCCTTAGGGCTGAAGGATTCATCGACATGTAGGCCTGAGGCCTC